GCGGCAGCGCCCCCTCCGCCGGCCCGGCCGCCTTCCCGGTAGCGGGCGCTGGGTGTGCGCCGGGTGTGGGTGTCGGGGGTGCCAGACTCAGCCCCCGAGGTGCCTCAGCGGGATTGGGAAGTCACACGGGCCACCCCGGGCCCGCCAGCCCCGCACGCTCCGGCCGGGAACTTGCTCACTGGCTCTTGCCGCCTCGCAGGCACAGGGAGCGCCTCTCTGACCCGCGGCCCGGCTTCCCCGCAGTGCCCACTGCTCCCGATCTCCCTGGGTGTCTGCACGTCCCCCTTTCCGCACCCGACTGCGGAACGGCTTCCCCAGGGGGATGCCCAGATAAGCTGGGAGTGAGGGTGCAGTCAAACCAGCACGGTCCCGGGGTCCCTCCGATCTGGAACTTCATAGCTGCCAGATGGGTGACACTACTTCACTCCCCGGGGCGGGGGCTGGGGAGGGCGCCTGCCATCAGTTCCCCCAGCCTAGCCTGGGGGAGGTGCCCCGCTGGCTAGGGTTGGTGGATGGGCCATATATCCAAAATATCAGGGGCAGATTTACCTGGAAGCTAATGAAGTTTAAGCTTCTGAGTCCTTCAGTGGTAATTTTGTATTAATTAGTGATCGTATATTCCTTTTCTTAAAGAGCTCCCCCCACCCTCCCAATTGCATAAGTAAGTTTGGCTCTCACAAAATCTGGACCCACCCCTGGGTCTATCTCACCCCCTTCCCATTCTAAATGCCAGTGTCTCAGGAGAACTCACAGCCCTGCTGACCCATGGACCATCCCCAGGGGCTGGTGCAGTTCCTTTTAGTGCCTAGGAGATGAGCCCTGAGGCAGGAGGCTGGGAAATTTGGTGTTGGGAGGCAGCTGCTGGTCTGCAGGGAAGGGTCTGGCTGCCTCGCCTTTCTCTCTGTCCCCACTAGTCCCTTGTCTCTCTCTGCCACCTCCCACTATGGTCATGGACTGTCTGGTTTGCCCAGGACTGCCCGATTTTAGCACTGAAAAGCCTGCATCCTGGGAAATCCCTCAGTCCCAGGGCAGACTGGGACAGTTGGTCAGCCTTCACCCACAACGGTCTCAGGCTGTTGTGTGGGGGTGGGTTGGCCTTCATCAGGGGGGTGTGGGAGACTTGTTTTCTGGGGTGCAGATTTCGCCTAGGCCTCCGCAGGCATGACAAATTATAACTGCAGCTTCCTAGAAGGCCTGTCCGGGGCTCCCAGAAACCAAAAGAGGAAAAGGTTGCCTGCTGCACCTTTTCTGCTCTACCTGGTTGCAAATTCCTGTGCATGGGCTGCTTTTGTGTGAGGAAGGGGCAGGGCAGGGCGTCTGCACTTGGCCAGCAGGCACCTTGATCGTACTGCAAAGTCTGTAGGTTGACTCCGTCCTGTCACCTGTGGTGGCCACAGGGAAGGGGCCCTTGTCACTCTGAATACCTCTCTGAGCATCTCCTGTGAGGCCAGCTTGTAACCCCGCTTTGGAGACAGCTGCACTGTGTTAGAAGCAGGGCCCTCGGGCTGAGGCACATCTGACAGCCTCCTCTGAAGAGTTCTGGAATATCTGGTCTGCCCAGGCCCTCGGGCACTGAGTCCACCCCCCCAACCCAACGCGGGAACCCTTCCTCAGGACTTTCCTGCCAGGTGCAGCCACAAGCTGCTAGGACCTGCCCAAACTTTGTAAAGCAGCCAGTCGCACCCCCATCCCTCACTGTAACCTTAGGGGCTGATCAGCTGGCCTCCCTCTGCTGTCCCCAGAGGCATTTCGAGGGCATTTGGGAGCACTCTTGGCAGTGTTGAAGTGTGAGTACATGCTCATCACCTGTGGAATGTGTTGGGTGCAAACTGCCTCCCCCAGCCCCAGGGGATCTGAGGATTCCACCCTGGGGTTGTGTGCCTGCCCCCAGACCTGGAGGCACCTTGGGTGGGGGTGAGCGTGGGCCCAGGACTTACCTGCCTGCCTAGCAATTACCCAGGAGCTGAGAGGGAGGCCGCTGTATGAGAGGCTCGTGTCTGGCTTTGTCAACCCAGCAGGCCCCTTCCTGGCTCGGAGCTCAAGTCACCCAAATCCTCCAGGGCTTGCTGGGTGGCTCTGTAAACCAGACGGCCTCCATGGAGGTCCCAATGCTCATTGGGAGCCCAATGCTCACAACTGGGAGTGCAGAGAGAGCCGCCTGGGGGCTCAAGCAGCCCTTCACACCAGCACCAGTCCTCTGCTGACGTACGCTGGCTGCTTCTGCAACCCATTGCTCAGCACCCCACGCCTGCTGCAGTCCCTGGATTGGGGCACAGCGCCCCTGACTTCTCAAGGGATGCCAGCTGTATGGCTGCTAATTGGGTACCTTGGAGGCTAAGGGGAGCTGGTGTTGGGATACAGTCCCCAGCACAACACGTGGACAAGAGAGTGGGACAGTGGTCCCAGCTAGTCGAGTCCTGGTTTATGGTCAGGGCCGGACCCTGGAAGAAAGGAGAAACAGCCCTTGTTGAGTGAATGCCTCCGGGTAGCACAGAGGTGTCTGCAGCAAGAGGCTACCCCTTGCCAGTCTGTCAGGCCCACTGCTTGCTACGCTGGCTGGCCCCCACCTCAGGCTGGGGGGAGGGGCTGGCACTAAATGTGCCGGTGGCAGCAGTGCCAAAACCTCCCTCAGACCCTCAGGGTACGGCTCCGGCTTCAGTGGCAGGGGAGAGATCAAGCTTGCAGTCCTGAGGGATGGTGAGTCTGAGCAAAATGATATATTTAACATCAAATATACTCAAGGACTATTAGGATTAAGTATTCAAGATGAAGGGGAAAGCGAAACCCTCTGAGCTGCGGATGAGGCATCTCATTAAAAGCAGCCTCTCTTCTGGTTTCTCAAAGCCTGACAGAGGAAGACGGGCTGCAGCACCCTCCCGCATGCCCCACCCCCGTCAAGCACCCTGCACTCCCAGGGCTTAAGGGGCATGGCCTGGCCTCCAGGTCTCCTTTGTACCTGGTAACCAGCCACCCCATTGTCCAGAGTGCCACAGTTTACGAAGCACATTCACAGGCATTATCTCATCTGATCCCCACAGCAACCTTGGAGATAGCAGAACAGGTTTCCCACTTCACAAACAGGGAAACTGAGGCCCAGAGAGAGAAAGTGACTTGCTAAGGTCCACTGTTCGTAATAGGCAGAGATGGGATGAGATCCCAACTGGTGGCCCTTTGCCCTTCCAGGGACTTCAGATTCCTTCTCCCTGCCCGGGTCTAGTCCTCAGAAGTGACTGCCAGGGGTGAGCCTCCTTCACATCTGTCTGGAGCCCTGCTTGGGCCGGAGAAAAGCCATTAAGATTTCCATCCCGGGCCTGCCCGGTGGTGTAGCGGTTAAGTTCGCGCGCTCTGCTTTGTTGGCACGGGGTTCTCTGGTTCAGATCCTGGGTGCGGACATATGCACCGCTCGTCAAGCCATGCTGCAGCGGTGTCCCACATAGAGCAACTAGAAGGATGTACAACTATGGCCTACAACTATCTACTGGGGCTTTGGGGAGAAAAAAGGAAAAAAAGGAGGAAGATTGGCAACAGATGTTAGCTCAGGGCCAATCTTCCTCAAAAAAAAAAAAAAGATTTCCATCCCATCCTGGAACTCTCTACCGTCAGGAAAAAAAGCTCTTGGTATTTAAGAGTGGCCTTCCTGGGGTAGGGAGCCTAGGCACCAGCCCCAGGGCTCTGGGGGGAAGCAGGGTTCAGGAGGAGAGGAGATGGCCACTGTCTGCCTTCCTGCCTCCTGAGCTACAGAGCAAGAATTGTTGACTCTGTAATAGCAGGAATCTTTGGTTCACTGCTGAATCCCTAGTGCCTTAGAATAGTGCTTGGTGCATAATACATGCTCAGTAAGTAGTTGCAGAATGAGAAAAGCCTTCAAGGCCGTGCTGCACTTGCTGAGAGAGAAGTTGAGACAGTATCCCACTCTTTATGGGATCAGGATGCTCTTGGGCGGCTGCTGGGGTCAGGGTGGTGCTATACGACTCACAGTGGGAGAGTTTGTGCCCTGTGGAGGGTTAACTTTGCCCAACCATCCAGCAAGCAACCAGAAACCCCAGGCAGAGCAGGTAGGAACGGAGGGCACCAGGTCAGAGAAAGATTGCCCGGGTGGAAGGGGGGCAGAAATCAAGGCTGAGGGGCTGGGAGTGACAGGCAGGGGTGGTCCACCGGATAAACACCCAGGATGAGAACCCTGGGTCCTGAGCGCAGCCACGCTCCGAGCTGGGGCCGAGAGGCCTCCAGGTGGCGCTGCGGAGCCGGGCAGCCGCGCGTCTCCACTCCCCATTACCCCGGGAGGGAGGGGGGCCTCAGGAAATGTGTGCATTTATTCAGTAGCAGGAGTGCAAACCTCATACATTGAGGGAGAAAGGCAGCGGGAGACGGCCGCCGAGATTCCCCCATCTCTTTGAATATAATTTTAGATTGAGATTCAGATTAAATCCGAGGGGAAAACACTTTATGAGGCTGAAAGCTGTGTCGTTGCCAGAGCCAGGGTTATGAGCTATCAAATGCAATTACATTAAGACAGATTATACTGGGCAAATTGAGCCATTTAGAAGGTGAGAATCAAAGAAACAGCTCTGATCCTCTCTTCCCCCTTCTCTCGCCCTCTCCCTCTCTCTCTCTCTCTAAATTGCAGTTCGTAGTTCCTTGCAATCCTGAGGCACAAAAGTAGGTGAGACTGCTTTTGTATCTGCGAAGTGCTTCACTCCTGAATGTAATTCTAGCTGAGTGCAATCTAGGTTAAGAGCCGGACAAGCGGGTAATTAGAGCCCGCTTGCTGCCGGAGGACCGGCCGCCCAGCCGAAGCGCGCCCGGAGTCGGCGCCCTTCTCCCGGCCGAGCCGAGCTGCGGCTGGACACGGAGCGCCCGAGATGATGGTGCTGGACAAGGAGGACGGTAGGTGGCGGGCGGGGGTCCCCGACGCCCCGCACCCCGTCGCCCCCCGCCGCGGCGCGCGGAAACACACACGCCGGGACCCAGGCGCACACATGCCGGGCTGTGCTGGGCTTGCCAGGCGGGCGGCACTCGGGGGGCTGCGGCCGGGGGCAGGGAGGGCCGAGTAGGGCTGCGGAGGTGAGTGAGCCCCCGGGCCCGGGCCGCGAGCCGTGCGCCGGCCGTGTGATGCTCTGCGGGGCCGCGTGGAGGCTCGGGACCCCTCCGATCTCGGCGCAGTGGCGGTTCGCGTAGAGCGTTTCGTCTTTGCGGCTGCTCCTCTCACCGCAGCCATCACCCTCACCGCGTAACCCGAGAGGCGCTGAGCGCCGAGCAAATCAGTGGCTTCGGGAGAATCGGACTCCAGAGCTTGCGGCGAGCGGGTGCGGGCGCGCGGGAAGACGGCACTCGCCCCGGGTGCCCGGCGGGCGAGGGGAAGGCCGGCTGGACCTCGGGAGGCAGCTGCCTGGAAGCGTGACTCGGTGAGAAAGAGAGACGCCTTCTGTGCTGGCCCGCTGCCTCCCTGTCTCCTGAGCCCGGAGGCGGGAGTTTGGCCCGGAGGAGGAAAGTGCCTCACCACAGGCCAGTAGCACTCGCGCAGGAGCGGCCCGCGAGAGTGCTATGGACCTGCCGTGGTCAAGAGTCTCAGTGCGCCTCAGAGGTCAGGACAGAGGGGCCCATGCTTGCTGGAAGCCACTAGCAGGTGGTCCCACATACCCCAAAGCCTTCCTGACTGGGAGTGCCCCACAGTAAGTGCCCTGGTATGTGCAGGAGGGGTTGGGGAACCCAGCCTGCTAAGGGTAGAACCAAGCAGGTGCCCTGTGACCCAAGCGCAGCCCCCAGGGTCAGGAGGGTGGCGGTTCCCTGGCCCTCCTGACTTGTAGGTGAGCGTTGCCTGGTTTGTTAGCGTTGTAGGGACATGTGGTTGTAACTGTTGGCACCCACACTGCCACCTGCGATCTACTGGTAAGGAACCAAGACGGTGGGTTTTCTGTGACTCACTGGGAATCCTCTTAGTGTGACTGTGGTAGCCATCCTCTGACCTTCTCCTAGTGAGTCCCTGCCGGGCCTGCACCCTTTGCCTACCAGGTCAATGGTGTTCTTTTTTTTTTTTTTTTTTGGTGAGGAAGATTGGTCCTGAGCTAACATCTGTGCCAGCCTTCCTCTATTTTGTATGTGGGTCGCCGCCACAGCATAGCTTGACTAGTGGTGTAGGTACAAGCCCGGGATTCTAACCCTAGACCCCAGGCCACAGAAGCGGAGCGCCCCAAAATTAACCACTATGCCACCGGGCTGGCACATCAGTGGTGTTCTTGACATGGTCACTTGGTGAAAATTCAAGGTTAAGTGACTTGCTCAAGGTCACACAGGGTGTTCACTTTGCTGCTCCCTTGTGCTGTTGCCCCTAGCCTTCCCACCATCTTCTGAGACCTCCAGCAGGGAGGGGCATTTAGAATGTGTGGCCTGGGGGTGGCATGTGGAGGAGCCCTGTGGCCAGTAGCCCATGAAGGCCGTTTCTCAGAGTGCGTGTAGTAAGAGAGGAAGGGGGACTGAGTGCTTCTGGGCACAAGAATCCATTTGCCAGGGTCTGGCTGGGCTGTGACATCCATCCCCAGTACATTCTTTTCTGTTCACGGACCCCTCCCCTGGAGCCCTATGCGGGCCATCAGAGGACTGGGCTGGTGCAGTTGTGTATGGAATAAAAAGGGAAGGGGTCTGGGGTCCGGCCAGACAAGGAGGGAGGAGGCCTTGATTTAGCTCCTCTCATCACTATCTCCCTGTGTTATCTCGGACCAGTTGTGGCCGTCTCTAGACTTCACTTTCCCTCTTGGTAAAATGAGGGGCTTGGAGAAGCTGGTACAGAGAGTCTTTCCTTGGTGTCTGGGGGTACTCTCACTGGGGGGAGCACGTGGAAATCAGGGTACATCTGTCGCCGAGGTTATTTGGCATGCTTGGCTCGCCAGACCCAAGCTGGAAATCCAGAAGACCTGAGCCCTGTCCGTGGGAGGCCTCAGGCAGGGAGACTGGTCTCCTGCCGACAAGATGACCCCACCACTGCCTCCTAGGGTCTTGGAGCTAGCTCTGTGCAGGCACCCCAGAGCATCTCAGCTTCTTTCAGATGCGCCCTGAATGGCAATGGATCTCTGGAGGTCATTTTAGCCAGTCTCCTGCCTTCAGCCTGCAGTGCACCTCAACTGCCCCGGGCATGTGTGTTTCCCCTAGTCTCCACCAGACCTGCAGAGGAGAGCTCGTGGTGCCCTCTGCCCCCCACCCTGTCCAGTCTAAACAATGGTGCCCACTACCGTTGATGTCACTGAGCTCTAAGGGCCCGTGACAGCACGAGGAAGGCAGCTGGCTGGGGCCCTGAGAGCCATTGGATTCTTGTCCTGTCCAGCCTAGAGCTGTCCTCCAAAAGCAACCTTTCTGTTCATAAATCCACTCTCTACTCCCCATTAGAGTCAGGCCTCTCCTGGTTCCAGGAAACCTTGAAGGTGGCAGCTTCAGTTGGAGGAGGGGAAAAGGGCTCTGGACCCACTCACCTGCCCCTCCAAACCCGCTGCCTAATTTCTTCCTAGCACTTATGCCCTCCAGCAGGTGGTCGTCTGGGCTGGGTGGCAGCACTGGCCCTCAGGGCCCCCAAGGAATGTGTCCCTCAGGGCTGTGGCACTGCACCCTTTGTCTGGCTGCAGCAGGGACCTGGGCTCCTATTAACCACCCCCAACGCCTTTTCTGCACCTGACAGCATCTTGTTGGAAGAGGCCGGGGCTCTTCTGGTTGAAGTCAGGTCTGCCAGCTGCTGAGGACCAAAGCTCTTGCTCTGCTGGGCTGCGGGGCTTTCATGTTGCACTTCAGAAAGATAATAAAATATCAATCGCTTTGCCGTAGCAACGGGTTTAAGAGACTTTCTGAAGTATTGAATCGTCAGAAAAAATTTTTTTTTTTTTTTTGCTTTTAAGCACAGTGCATTATTAATAAAGTAATCCATTAGGTCGAGCAGTAAAGGGCCACCACAGAGAGGAAAGATCTGTTTTGCAAACAGTTAAACTTCTGGTTTTAAGATTAATTGCTTTCATTTGGACGCTTGCTCTTGGCCTAGCCATCTCCACTTTACTGGAACTCAGGGTCCGGGCTTTCTAAATGCCGTCGGGCCCGCCTGTCAGCAAAGGGAGCCCAGCTCCCACTTTCCCTGAGAAATGGCCCTTCTTCTGCTGGCACGCACGCTTGGGCTGGCACCAGGCTGTGGGCCTTCTGAGGAGGTCTGCAGTCCCAGGGGAGCAAAGGGAGCTCCTGCCCTGAGCCCTGAGAGTCAGATTAGCCCTCAGGCTGTTGGAGAAGAGGCCGTGGAGAAGGGGCAGACAGCAGAGGGTCCACTGGCCCCAAGAACAGTGAGAGTCTTGGGTTGTGGGGGACTGGGCAGGAGAGGATGCTGAGTGGCACCCCCCTTGGGGGGTGCCTGGGTGTTCCCAGGTGCATGCTGGGGAAGGCAAGTCTGAGCATAAGCTGCCTCTGCAAAGGCCCAGCAGGAAGGCCGGGGTGACCACAGGAAGCAGCAGGCAGGTTGTAGAACTAAACACTAGACATGATTCCTAGAACATTTTTAATAAGTAAAAATGCCTAAGGAGAGTGGAGCTGGACTGTGGAGGACCAGACAGCAGGTCTTCAATTGTTAATGACTGCTGTGAGCATGGCCTCCACAGCGGACTTGGTTGGTCTGAGAGGGCAGACTCTTGGCTATCCTTGGGTGCTGACCAGCCCTTGCTTAGCCACCAGCAGGACCTTCTGGGATATCCCATCGTGCTCTGGACAACAGGGAGTCCTGGGGGCCTCTCCTGTCAGAGTGTGGCCAGGACCTCCTCGGCCCCGGAGATGGAGGCAGGTGATGCTGCTCCACAACAGAGACCCGTCGGCAGGAAGGCAGAGTCCAGCAGGCACCGCTGCCTGCTCAGGACTGGTGAAGGCCCTGTGAGGCTGGCAGGGTGGGCACCCGGCCTGGCACTCACCCAGCGCCTAGAAGAGGAGGATCTCCATCCGCACCTGCCATTGCCATCCCTAGCAGCAGCCACCTCCTCACTGCTGGCAACGAGGCGTCCCAAATCCTGAGCGGCATGTATGGCCACTTCCCCTTTCTGCCCAAACTCAGACAGGCAGAGAGTCTGTAAAGATGAGTCCCCCTGACCACCTCCCAGAGCCTTGGATGAAGAAGCGGGTGCTTTCTCTGTTCCCTGCTCTTTCATTCGTTTGGCCACACAGAGCACTAAGGGGACAGGGAAACAACATAAATTGGTCTGTTGTTCAGAATCCATGTCTCGCTAATGTACCCAGATTAACTCAACTGTAAATTGTCTCCTTGGATGGCGGTGTCTTGCTAAAAGTTTCCCATATGATTCATGATTTGGATTGCTTTTAACGGCTATTGGCTAAGCAAGCCGGTGACTGTACAAGGTGATGCAATTGGCATTAGCGAGGGGAGGCACGGGAGCGTGTAATGCAGTCAATACTGCATTAACTACTGATGCCCAATTACAGGGAGTGGGAGAGAGCCTTTCAGGAGCATTAGGACTGGGGGAAGCTGAGATCACTGGCCGCTGCTCGCCTAAAAGCTTCACCCTTTGCGTGCCGGGGCTCGGCGCTGGCGTGGCCCCTCACTTGGCCGTTGTGGCCATGGGAGATGACTTTCTCTCTTGCCATCTCTCTCTCTCTATGAACACATCCCACAAAGATGCTTTTAGCACATGGAAATGTGCATTTTCCCAGAGCTGGGACCTGCCTCTCATTCGCTCCTGAGAATTGATTCTCCACCCTACCCTGTCTGTGTCCCAGAGTCAGATGATATGGCTGCCCCACCCACTTCCATTTAAGCAGCCTCTGAGCAGGTCTTATTTGTGAGCAGGACCAAGAGGAGGTCTATTTTGGTCTCTCTCCCTGGGAACAGATAGATAATTTTTAGTGAGCATTGGCGGCCG